CTCACAGGAACAAACAGAGCTTTCATTTTATACACAGGTTCCAAACAGCCCCGGGTTATTGCCGGCCCACGTTGTGCAAAATCATATTTGAGTGGATCCACTGGAGCCCCAGTGCTTGTCTACTGCTAGAATAGAAAAATGCCTTCTTGTTGTATCACCCAACATTTGATTTGTTGTTTCTAGATTATGTGAGGGCTTCCCGCCTCAAGGAGGAGCATTTTTAGCATTGTTTGATGAAAAGCAGTGTTTGCATAAGGTTGGAAATGTGACATAATGTCCTTGTGTAGGGAAAATGACATGTATCTGATATCACCCAGGCAGCTGATAACAAAGGCTTAGTGGATGGTTTTGTTTGGGCGATAATGTGATTATAAGGCTGGCACAGACCTGTCTGAAAACAATGAATGTTTACTGACAGGATTGTCATAGCAAGTGTGTATAAAACATGGAAGATGTGAGTCAAAAGTGGGTATTTCAGAATGCGGAAGGAGAAGAGAGTGGGTTGTTTGAGGAAGGAGAGGCAAAAGAAAAACACAAAGGAGGGATATAGGAAAGGAAAGAGAGCAAGTGGGCAACGGGGAACAGAAAGAGCCCAGTCTTTTCATGCATCAGCTTTTTGGACAGCTGCCTGTTGGATGATAAGATTAAAGAGTCTTTTAATATGACCTCTGTGCTCCATTTTGATATTAACACGCCACAGTCTCCCCTCTGAGATAGGTCATTTTATACACAACATGCACCATGTAAAGGTGGTCGTGTTTCACCTATAATATTTAGTCAGAGTTGAAGCTCTGGATACAGCTAACAAAAAGATGCACGTGTAGCTGTTTTGAGGCCAATTTATTTGCACCATAGACACGTCGTCAGGCATTATCATATAGCAACTTATACTCAAACCTGATACTATAGGATAGTGAGCCACAACTGTAGTTTCAGACTCTCAGACTGTCAACACAGACAAAGTGTGACTTCGCTGTGTAGCTCTCCGCCGCTGAAGGAACCGAGAAAAAAGTGCAATCCTCAAACTCAAAGCGTGGCAGAAGAAACCAGAAGAGCTACAAGACATAGGTCCTCTGTCTCAGTGCAAATAAACTATTCAACAATGCTGGAATGGGAACAGTCATTGCTAAAAGACTGGTTCACAGTTTAACTGCATCAACAACAAAAGTAGTTTAAAGAGAATTTGGGAGAATTTGCTCAGTTTCACTGTTGTGTAACTTTATTCCTGCCCTGTCAGTAGCAGTGCATTGCAGAATCGTGCCGCCTTCTTGGCTGCCCTTCATGCTATACAAGGCCAATGTGTACATATAAAAACTGCAGTTTTTAAACTGGAGACTATGACCTCACTCAGACACATTGCAATGATGCCAGTGATTATGACCTGGCATCATGACTGATTGCACCAAGTTGGTGTCCATCAAGTCTGGACCAGTTGGTGTTGACAGTTGGGATATAAAATAATAAAGTGTGTTTTTTTATTATAATCATCGGCCCTCTGATTAAATCTCTTGCCATTGTTCAGAGTAAGATTATTACAAACATGATTTTTACAACCACAGTCAAGACCGGGAAAAAAGGCATGCAGAGGAAATTGTAAAGCAATGGGGTGCTATGAGTGAGAATTATTTTTTAGTCCAGTTCATCAAGTTTCAGCGCAGAGCCACAACCCCCGCCAAAGTTCACTCTCATAAAGCTCCATCTCCCTCCAGCTGTCTCTGCAAAGTCCTTGTTTCCCACATCTACCTATTAGACCACTAGTTTTTTCCCTTTGTTTCAATGCCTTTTCAATAAAAAAAAGCAGCATAAATTATAAATAATGTCCATTTCTGTTTTGGTACAGGGACAAGGGATTGTATTGTTTTTACCGTTTACCTGTCCAGTGTGTTATCACCTTTTCTGCCCATTTAAAAAAAAATAATAATATTATGTCTGGAGTGTATGATCTTTGATTAAGTAAATTGAAGGTTCATGCAGGCGGAAGAATTTGAAACTTGCCTGGGACTTGACTGCTCTGACACTTGACTTACTTGAGACTGGACTTTACCCCTTTAACACTGAGCTTGAGACTTGATAGTCAGAATATTGAGTCTCTATTAAAGCACAGACACAAGTCTTCAGTTCTGATCATGTAAAAACAGCTTTGAAAAAGATGTGTACAAATGCTATGAAAGACCTGCAAACCTTGGATCATGACTTCTGCTTTTTACCTTTGACATGAAACTTGACTTGGACATACTATTGTAACTCTGTTTAGAGAGGAGTATTTGTGAACAAAAGTAATAAAAAGCTCTTTGTGGGTTTATATTTCTTTAAAAAAAAAACAGCTCTGGGGAATATACCAGTTTTCTCCCAAAAGTGATGTCACAGAACCCTCATCCTACCACCAGAGATATAGATTTAGTCACATCACATCATACACATCACACATCATATCATTCTAATTTGTTATGACTTTGTTAGTCAATTTGTTCATAATAACGTCATATCATTAATTTCTATTTGTTTTAGTGCTTTTTGGTAAAATTATGTTCAAAGTCAGAAATAAAATATTGATGATAAAAATGTTTTATGATTATTAAATTAAATGTGCATGTTCTATTATACAAGATAAGCTTGTAAAATAGTGTTGTGCATATGATTGACATGCAGACTTGAGTGCAAGTCTGCATGTGTGGACTAGAGTGGTAAAAAGCAAAAATATAGCCTTTTTTTGGTTGCAGAGATAGAATATAATAACAATAATCTGTTGCTATGATGGTTTTTCCTTACAGTAGGTTAGTCTTCAAGTCCCCATGGACCCCAATCAGTTGTCCTTGTACATTATATGTTGGCAGGATGAGGGTTAAAGAAAGTGCTGTTTATAAAAGTAAGACAAACACACAAATAAAGAACAGCACATATTGATATTGAAATCTTAGTATCTTTTAATTTCTAACACTCAGGCAAGCTGAGTGTGGAGCGATGACGGCAATGTCGGACTGAAATCAATTTCCAACTTGTCAGCTCATCTCATCCTATTAAAACTACTAAATTAAAGTCCTTTTGCATGCTTAAACTTTCAATAATCAACAGTTATCTCTCTTTCTGTGGATGAACGTATAATAGTACTTAATATTACATTTTAAATCTGTCTCTGCTCTTTCTATCCACCTCCAGCTGTTGTGCGCTCTTCCAATGCTATGTGCTGTGTTGTCTGAGAGTAATGATTTTTGAAACCCCCACACATGTGCACACACCCACACAAATGGTCATATGGCTGAGTTAACTTGACAGATTGTCATCAGAATACTGTAATGGGACTCAAACCCCCATACACACCAACACACACTTACAAACACAGCAAAGGAGTGTGTCACTGCAGGGGAAGATGATTGACGGGGCTCGAGATGGTGATGGAGACTAACATGAGCCCTGGACAACACTCTGAACAGCATGTAGTCTGATAAAACACTAGACTTTTTATTTGAGCAAAAACTGTGTGTCTCTGTACGTATGTGAGAGTATTTCTTCCTCAATTTGCATGTGAGTACAACTCTTAATAGATCTGTTGCAGTGTTGCAGTGAAGCGAGTGTTGAAGTATGATTAGTATAATTTTGAAAACAGCAGCACAGCAATTATTTGCTGAGTTACAGGGATGAATTCACGATTAGAATTGTTACTTTCAGAATCATCAATCAACAATTAGACTCAACATAACAGTTTAGAAGCAGTTGTATCAGGTAATACTTTTATATTAGAATATTTCCAGAAAAGTGAGGCTGCATCAAGTCTGCACAACTTCTCCCTTTTTACCTAAATAAAGTCCTTGTCTCATATGGAAATCCAAACTACAAAGAAGGCGATGAGTAATGAGAAATACTGTGTCCTAAAAAAGGACCTAAACTGTCTTTCTCTCTCCAAAGGAAGATGGATTCAACATCACAGTGCAAGTGCTGTGATTTTTCTTTATTTGATTACGCATTTCCCAACCAGCCCCTGAGATAACCAATTTAAAGGAGTAGGTCTGCAAATAATGATTACTTTTATTATTGATCAGTCTTTCATTTATTTTTTACAAATAATCACTAAATCCTCAAGTATCTCGTGTAATGTAAAAAAATGTAAGTAAAAGTAAAGGATGGATATTAAAATGTAATTTAAAGTCAACCTAATATAAGTAGCTTTATTGATCGATACCGCAGTGTGCGATGACGACATGGAGTCTGATTTCTTGCATGGTGAATGGTATTATTTTATCATGTTCTACAATGATGTGTGCACAATCTGTGATGTTCTCCCCAATTTGAGCAAAAACAAGAGTGAAGCTGTCAAAAAATCTGGGGCTTGAGCCTCGGCTCTTATGTCTGACATAATGAAGCGTCTTTGATCAAGACACTAAACCCCAATTTGCTCTCAGTGAATAGACTAGTGAGTGCTTGCAAGGCACGGTAATATGACAAATACAGCACTCTAATATTTCACATGGTCACAACTAAAGAAGAAAGTGACGTATTTCATAAAGTGTGAATCGTTACACCAGTGTTTAAAAGCGTCAACATTTTTTTTTTTTTTGTGTAAGGTGACATGTTTACTTGTTTTATTCCAAAAACAATAAACTAGAGGTATTATACTTTTTTTTTTTTTTTTTTTTTTACATATTTCCAAGTATTCAATTAAAATACTTATAGGTCAGCAAGTCCTCACATTTGAGAAGCTGCAGCAAAAAAATAAATGTTTTCTCTCCTTGATAAATAATGTAAATGATATGATGATTAATTTTATGTCAATACACAATTGATTCATGGATGAATCATTCCAACACAAACAGATTGTGTAGTTTACTGATCATGTCACAGGATTTCTGTGTAATGAAACCTCTTCAAACAGTATTCAACACTATCTTGTTGCCAGTGGAGCTGTTGAAGTTTGAAATATTGTACGATTTCTGTTTGTGTCTGTTTTTTATGCTGCATGTGGGTGTTTGTATGTATCCTTATCTGTGTGTTTGTTTTTTCTTTAGGTGTTCCGGGGGCGTTGAGGTGATGCAGGTCCCCCGGTCATCCCAGTGGAGGAGCCAGCTAATGACGAGCGGCTTTGGCTGCTGAACGCCCCCCACCATCACCACCCTCATCCCTCCCTCGCTCCCTCCATCTCTGATGGCTCTATGGGGCGTCATCAGCCTCAGCCTTCACTGCTGGGTGTGTTTACGGTCTGCAGTAATAGCAGCAGCAGCAACAGCCAGCCTCCCCAATGACAAGCCCGGAGGCCCCCTGGACTGGCTCCTGTCTGATAAAGGGCCCTTCCACCACTCCCCAGAGTACATCGACTTTGTGGAGAAGAACCGACAAGGCTTCTCCACCAGATACAAGATATACAGGTGAGTCATGACTGCAGGATGAAGAGGCACTTTACACTGTATCTACTAACGCTATATCACTGCTCCTATAATATGCATGACAAATCTCCCAGCAGCCACATCAAACAGTCTTCATGGTTGTCCTTTTAAAGATCGGCTCTGTGTAAATAAAGACCAGATACATAATGTGATTATGTTCATGTGGTTACACATTTAGATTAGTATAACTCACAAAGTCACAGTATTTTGTCCTAAGCCACAGCATGTACTCAGTAGCACCTAATCATCATATGAAGATGGTTTAGTCTATGGAGATTAGAGGTTTGATCATTACCAAACATATATTATTTTTATTTTTGGTGGGAAGATTCATTATAAAGTACTGATTTCCATCTGTGGTCAAGGCTAATACTACCAAAAATCATGGTTTAACAGTTAAGAAAATGTTAATACAAAAAAAAGGGACATGAGAAGTTTGATACCAATCTTGTGTCTTTGAGGTAAATACGTGGCTACATCCATCAGACGGTTGGCTTAGGATAAAGACTGAAAATGGGGAAAGTGTCAGCTTTAAACAGAGCCACCTGTCCAGCTCTCAAATGAACATGCTATTTCTCGTTTGTTTAATCAGTTAACAGAAATAGTCCTGCACACAACCCCTGTGAAACCACAATTGAGGTTGAGACAGAATATTTCCTAGAAGGCCGAACTTTTCCTTCAAATGCAGTTAGCACAGCCATGACACATTTAATTGTTCACAACCACAGCTGCTCAGTGGCTGAGGACCTCCATTATAGCCATTAGACACAGTCACTGCAATAATTAATCAACTAATAATTCCATGAGCATTACTTTCATCACGTGCATGTCTATATGTGGGTTTGGGGGAAATATTCTGTGTAAGGGATTTTACAGTATACGTCTAATGATTCAGCATTATTCTTGGATTTTGGAAAAGACAACTCCCACTATTCCCTGTACAAACCCATTAACAGTCAGCAAATTTTGGGGGCTTTACTGACTATAAATATCATGTGCAAGTCCTTACCTGACCCTTATTAAAGCACCCTAGTAAACCTTATATTGCTTGCAATGGATGCACTGCAGTCAAATCATGTCGAGTTGAATTGAATGAGAAAAATGAGAAAGGAAGGGAGTGCACTTTCGCTTGTCATGGTTGAATGAACTTACAAATATATATAATTTAATACATATGGACATCTGTTATAATATGCTGGTTGAGGAAAAGGTTGAAGTCGAGAACAAGGTCATTCCAAGGGCATTTTAACATGTATGTGACAATGTAATGTGAGTGCTACAAGTGTGACAGTAGTGTTCATAGCTACAGCTGCAGAGGGCTTTTATGATCAGTGCATTTGCTTTTTTTATTGTGACATCAAAATGATGTAAGGGAGAAGATGCAACGCAACTGCACATCTTAAATTAGTACTCGCAGTGGACAATATGCTTTATGAAAGGCCTATTCATGGCTATTTAGTAGGCAGACTGTATTATTTCCCCAGTGTTGTCCTGCAGAAAAGGCTTTAATGTAATCATGTGAACAGCCAATGTTCACAAGATACCTGGCACATGTCTAGACAGAATCAGGAAGTATTTCATGCAGGCATGTTGCTATCAGCTGGCTTCCAATCCCTCAGAGAGTTACCTGATCAGATGGTCAACTAAAATATGTTGATTAGCACCGGGAAAAAAATGAAGATTTGTCATGACAGCAACACAGTCTGAGGTATCGGCATGCAACCAAATTAGTGGAGATTGTGTCATGAATCATATCCATCGTCATTTAGGAGGATGTTGTCCAGGCTTCTGGAAATAGATAGACAGGGTTCCTGACATCTATGGATTGGTGCGAGGATGCTTTATGGCTTCGGTGAACGGTTGCTGCATTAGAGCTTTTTAATATTTCCTTCTCTGGCAAAAGGCAGCGATCCGTTGGAGCCGAGCTGCATGGGCGGCAAGATTAATAGTCTTATCATGTGGCCAAGTGATTAGTGAGCTCTTAGTACTTATTACTCTGCATTATCACAGAATCCCCTGAGAGGCTTCTGTCAGCTGCAAGGTTGTGTTTGAGGCTCTCTAGATTACCACAATGTGGCATTGATTAATAGTGATGATATTAAAAGGAAAAACTAACCTAAAAAGTAAATAGCCTGTAAATCTTCCTGAATTGAAATTCACTTGGATTCAGTCCCATTTGATTTCAGAAAGGAATCAGACAAAGACAGGGAGGATACAGCTGTGGGTAAGCTTCTGTTTTGGCAATGATAGCTATGTTGGTGGGGTGAAATGTGGCAATGATTTTGGGAGCGCACACCTGGAGCGGGCTCATAAAAAATTCAGTAGGGTTGTTTTATTAAGGAAAGTGGGCCCACTGCAATATTCTCTCAAGGGGACCAAATTTCGTAGCTGTGCTCCTGCTGCGTAATATAGCTCCTTAAGTTTCTAAAACAAGCTTTAACCCTTGTGTACCAACAAGAGGAAGAGGAAGTTATTTTCCAACCTTTCCATCTTGTAAAAGGCAAATAAATATCTATTGCCACTTCTCACAACAGGTTGAAACTATATATGAGCTGCAAGAAGCTCAACCAAAGGCTGATGTTACCTAGTTTCATTTGAATAATAGTGATCAGAAGACGTTTAATTAATTCAAATAAGACTTTTTATAGAGTACCTGAAATTCAGCAGATATTAGACTTTTTACTTTTAGTTTAACAAAACATGCCGAGAATCTCAGTGCATCACTGTTGAAGCAGCTGTACAAGACAAACTTTGCCTGAATAAAAAAAAAAAAAAAAAACGTTTTAATTAGTGATTTGATGCTGCAGACACGTAAAATATTGATGTGTCCTTTAAAAAGAATTGAGGTTCAATACCTAGCTGTAAAGAAAAAAATCAGTTTAAAGAAGATCTAGTTCAGCTCCTCAAATTTATCTTTTGGCCTGTGCTTTGTGGAGCTCTGGTCAACCTGCAGTGTCTTATGTATCATAATTAATTTTGATTAATCTAAACTTAATTTTAAATAAATATCCCAGGGTAATCTAACATGAATCTTCCTCTCCAGATGAAATTTCTTAAAGTTAAATATAAACTGTGTTGGGTGTCGGCATTTAGTAACCTGAGTCATCATCAGTTTATGGAAATCAGCGTTCACTCGGTAATTATCAGATGATTAGTTTTATTCCTGGAATTATAGGCAAACATGCCTTATAAGGGATTATCTAGAGCCTTTGCTTATGCAACATTGAAGAAAAAGATGCGGCATTATTGTAATGAAAACATCCAACTACTCAAATTGTTATTTGTTTTCCATCACTATATTGGAATGGATTCAAAGGATTTTTCAGCTGTTTGATGATCACAAAAGCTAATTTGCATGCAGCGAGGATTACCAGATTAAAACGGCTGCTAAACTTTCTAGATATGACGGAAGAGAACAACTGTTTCTTCAGTAAATATTGTTATAAAGCAGGGCTAGAATTAGGTAGTTTGAGGGAGAGGGGCAACAAAAAAAAAAAAAACTAAAAATGGCACCAGCATGTAGAAAGTTGTATTGTAGTTATGGTGAAACAGTTTAGTCAGTGTTAGGATTAGCATCCTAGAGGGCATTTGTTCGCGTGTTGTCCGCTGGAAGGGCACCGAAGAGGGCAGAGGTGTCCACCAGTGTTATAAAGGATAAAGGTGATCAGAATTTACAAAGTGCTCTACATATGGAAGAAACATAGATAATATACACAAAGTGGAAACCACAGCAACTCACATGAATCCAAGCCAATAGCTGCTGTTCTTTAGTCAACCTTTTAACTTTTAATAGCCATATCGTATTAGTTATTAAAAAGATGTGGGTGGAATATAACATAAATCCAAATCACTTAGATTAAAATGAGATTGGAACTGTAAAGGGGTATGGACACTTATGTATCCAGATTTAATCAGGCATCATTCCTCTTAAAAACTTCATAGCAAAGTTGCTGAAGCTGCTGATATAGATGTCAAAATCATCAACGAAAAGTAATTGCTTTTTCAGTGTGTCAGTCAGCATCATTGTGCATCAACACATAATGAATTAAAACAATGGGACTCTATTAATTATCTTCAATTAGTTTATTCTGCAGACCGGAGCACATATGACACTCCCACCTTATGAGTTTAACTTGATGAAATGAAAGCAGCTTACTGTTTGATAGAAGAGCCACTTCAGGCACAGTGAACAACAGCAGATTTCTTAAACCACAGGGGAGTCTGCAGGTGCTCTGAAGAGGGTTGAGGTGAGTGTTTTAGAGCAGACTCCCTCAGCGCTGCTTCTCAGCATCCCACTGCTGCATTCTTACTGATGTTCTTTGTCTCGTCTCCTTTCCTAAAAATTCCCTCAGAGGTTTAGGCATCTCCAAGTTGCTCCTTGCGGTAAATAGGTTGGGGAAATAACAGTAATAAATACTAGTTACCCTTAAGACACTTTTCCTCAATTGCTGTTTAAAACGTCAGAAAAAAAGTATTGGTCTTTAGTGGAAGTCATAAGGGACACAAGATTAGACAGTCTATCTCATATCAGCCTGATTAATTGCTCAGTTTTTACTTCAGTTCTCATTTGTATTCAATTTGTTAAAGCTGCAGGCAGCTGATGTAGGCAATGTCTCTCTAGTTGAGCTGTCTCGCTAAAGTTTGATTTGATAAAGATCATAAAAGTGTAAAAAGAGGTGATTTTCAAGTAAATGGAGGAAAGCATCATCATGGTTTCCTTTTTAATCCTCATTTCAGGTTTTTTGCCACACTAGTGGCATGCATTTTGCCTTATTCTCATTGTGGATAAATCCTACTGACTTTGGTGATCCCCTGACTTTTCTTCAAGTGCCACCCTGAGTTTGTGATTTCTCAAGTGAAATGCTTTCACAAATATTGGATGGATTGACAAGAAATTTGACTCTGACAATAATGCCCCCCTCAGAATGACAATAATAATCACTAAAGTTTCCACACAGCATGTGTCAAAATGTTAATTTGTT